GCTCATACTTTCTTCAAATTCTGATATTCAAGAAATCATACTTGTCCTAAAATTGACTTGTTTGTTTTATGAAAATGTATTTTCTTTTATTTTGGGTTGAAATATCATGCAAAAGATCATTTAAAATCTTAAAGCCAATCTCGACTTAAAAAGTCATTCATGCATAGTAGAGCAGCACGATTAATCAAAAGATTGCAATCTCGATTCAAACACCCATGCAATCTCATTCCTAAATGACAACGATTCGCCTGTCTATTAAACCTTTGATAAAATCACTCTAAAACATTCAAATCTGTGTTACCACTGCTTGTGTTGACCCAGTGAGAACAGCTATTATGTATAGGTATGGAATTGCTTTACAAACAGTCTTTTCAACCACACTGTATCAATATTTCTGGGTTACAAATATCAAAATTATCACAGATGTACTGGTATAAAAGTCTGGGTATAAACACTCATGTCTATGATAGCAATCAAAATAGACTAACATATTTTGAAAGTAATGATAATAAATAACAATTGATTTAATTCCATCATTGTGCCAGTGATTATTAAAAAAAAAGACTATATGCACCTCACGAAATTACTCATTCATTCGAGATTTGTTCAAAAATGCTTATTCATCCAGTGAGGAAAAAAGTCTTTATTGAGATGAGTCATTGAATCATTCATTCAAACCCATTTTACCCAGATACAATACACATTATTTTCAGAGTAGAAAAACTCAATGACAAACTGCACTTCTGTATGCGTTTACCTCTTTCTCCAACTCCACTTTGAGTTTCTCCTCCATCACTCTCTCCATTCTCTCCAGCTTCCTCCTCAAACCCTCAGTTTCTTCTTTTAGCAGACTGCTGTTCTCCTTTGTCTCTCTGGAAAGGAAATTGAGAGATTGAAATTATGACAAATAATGATTTAGGTATGCATCCACCACAGAAAAAGTAGGATGATGACAATGTTGATACCTCAAGAAAGAGTTTTCCTCCCGCAGACGTTTCATTTCCCGCCCAAGTTCAGGCAGTCTGGCCACTTCAGATTTCATGTTCTTCACAATCACAGCGTCTTGTTCCTGAAGAGCCAAACGCCTCTCCAACTCCTGCAGATGGACAGCACCAATAAGAGGGACCAGGTCTCAAATAAAAGGCAATTTCATGATGCAAAATACAAGTTTGATTGTTTTTGTTTTTTTTACTACCGACTTGGCACTGAAGTAGTTACCTCTGACATCTCTCAGTGCTCCAAACTTCATAGAAATTGAAACAGAATTACCTTTATCTTGAGTTCACTCTCTGTGTTGGTGGAATGAGATGACTGGAGGTTTTGGCATCTCTGACTGACGTCCTGGAACTTCCTATCAGCATCAGATGCAAAAACAACATAGTACATTTGTATTTTTTTTTTAAAAGAAAGTATAAGGGAAAACAGTAAAGGCTTCAGGTAGTTATAAGATCTCCGGCGGCAGCCCCCCCAAGAACTAAATTCTCCATTAGGGCTATTTTCCTATTTGCATTCCCCCTGCCACTATGAACTTTGAAGTGATGTAAGCCTGCGACAGTGACATCATTTAAGCGTGGCATTCAACAACTCCACGGCGTGATGGTTGAGAAGTGCCTGGACTTCGCCGTCTGTCATCTATCGCTGATTCCCATGTTTTTGGAGTAAGTATATGTAAACTGTGTGTTTCCAATCAACGAACAATTACATCACTGGTAGTTCCTATGTGTAGACCATACTCTGAAGTACGAGCTAATTTAGCCCCCCATATGAAAACGTTCCTCCAGTGTGGAAGCCCCTAGTGTGTGTTTGTGCCCATGCGAGTTCATACTTGCGCTGCACATCCAGTTGTTCCTGTAGGGCCTGGATCTCCAGGTTTTGGGTGGAGAATTTGGACTCCTGAATCTGGACCTGTTGACTGAGCCTTCGTGTCTCGTCTTTCAACTCACTGATCATCTACAACGAACAAAATACTTCAAACACCTCACGGAAATCCGAACTAGATTAAAGGGATAGTTCACCCAAAAATGAAAATTCTGTCATTAATTACTCACCTTCATTTCAAATCCTTAAGACTTTCATCCATTTTCAGAACACAGTGAAGATATTTTTGATGAAATCTGAGATCTTTTTATCATTGACAGCTGCAAAACTTCATATAGAGTGAATGTGTCTCTTTGGACTAAACCGGTTAATTCATATTTTACGATCTCTTTATGAACTTTTTGAAGCGTCAAAGTGGTAGTTGCATAACTTTCAATGGAGAGACAGAAACTCAGATTTCATTAAAAAGATCTTCGTTTGGGTTATGAAGATGAACGAAAGTCTTACGAGTTTGGAATGACAAAAGGGGAGAATAAACGATGACAGAATTTTCATTTTTGGGTGAACTAACCCTTTAACAAAAGTATAAAAAGTTGGTTTAAACAAAATCAGATTTATGAACTGAACACCAATTGTCCTCGCAAATTTTATTTTTGTGAATGCACACCACCATTCAATTTTTTTTATATGAAATTAATATTAATCAAGGCATTAAAACAAAATGTGACAGTAAAAACCTTTATTCTTTAATAAAAGATTTATATTTCCATTCTATTCCTTTTCAACTTTCTACTCATCAAAAAATTCTGAACAATATGCATCAATTATTAGTGAATGAGACCTAATGTCATTCTGTATTGTCTCTGTCAATTAAAATAAATAAATAAATATGAGTCTTATTATAACATGTTCATATTCGCAGAGGTACATGCCAGTTTTGTTGTCAAATAAAATGCTCAGAAGAATTGACTAGTAAGTAACAAACCGGATGTGAGGCAACCACCTATTAAAAAACAATTAAAACCTTTGATATAATCTCATGTTCCAATAGGAAATAATAATGCAATAAATCATCAGTCCATTTTATGTAATAATTTTGATCTAGCTATAAACACTAATAAACATGAACACACACCTGGTCCGCCTCTGCAAGTTTGCTGTCCTTTTCATTTGCTTTCTTGTGGAGATCCTCAAGGTTACGCTTTAAAGCCTTGTTGTTTTCCATTTGTTCACTAAGAGCTTGATTTGCTTTCTCTTCTCTTTCTTCCAGACGTCTGATCTTCATCAGTAACTCCCTGTTACGGTCAATTTCCCTCTGTAAATGTAATCAGACAGACACAGACACACACAAGCACAGGTCAAATGAGGTGTTTCCACAGCAGAGACTGAATGCACTAAATTGCATCCTAATGTTTTTTTGTCTGCAGTGTCTTTTAAACCCTATTTAAGGTTGCGGGGTTTGATTTTTCATGTTGCAGGAATATATTTAGAAAAAGGCCTGAGAAGACATCAAAAGAAAATCCTGCAACAGAAAGCATGATTTTCAGCACTATCCCATCTATCGCTCACCTGTAAGTCTCTGGAGCTGCTGTGTGCCTCTTTCTCCAGCTCTATACGGGCCCGTTTGTGACTGAGCTCCATCTGTTGTTTCTCTTGAGTGAGTTGCAGAAGGTTGGTGTGGGAACGGACACGCTCGGCAGCCTCCTCTAACTACCATGTGCAATAAAAAAAAAGAAGAAATCTGCTCTAAACATACTATATAAGAGATTAAGTACATATATTTATGAGATCACTTTCTGATATATCGTTACAAATAATGACCAAAATATGAAAGGAGTCTGTGACTCGCCTCCACTCGTGTGGTATAGAGCTTCTGAAGGTCGCTTCTTCCATAGGCTGGCTCCGTCTCCAGCAAAGAGCGATCTGGACATGATATCAAACTCTTGAAAGACTTTAGCGTTGAGAAGATTGTGGTGTCATCCTCCATGTTATCCATATTGACAAAGTCTTGACAGCCTCCTTTGCAGAAATAGAGAGAAAAAGATTATAAAGTGTTAAATGAAAAACATAAACCTCCTCACTACCCTAAAGAAGCCCATTATTCAATCCAAAGAGGAAATAATACCAGTAAATGTAAAATAATGCAAGGCCAGTTCAGTTTAAATTAGTAAGGAAGTATTCTGTAAACCTTTAGGATGCAATTAACATTTGGGCAGTTGATTATTAAAATATTGAAAGTTTATTGTGAAAAAAAGGCATGTTTTTCATGCTTATCAACTTCCATAATGTCCAATATAGTGTCTTGTTTAAATATCCTTTAATTAAAAAGGGCTGATGACGTTTTAAAAGGTGACACTTGCTCAGTTCACACAATTACTGGGGAAACAATTTCCTTGATGTCATCATAAGATAAAAGCATGGTACTTTGCTACATACCAAGATAAAGGTCTACCATATAATTAAACATTATGATTACGGGGACAGTGGGAACTTAAAGAGAACTGGGTCCTTTTCACTTTATTCGCCTCAAGTGGTCTGAGCTGGGTTCTTTTACAGAAGACACTAGATGGTCCAAAACATAGTATTGCATTTTCCAGAAAAAAATAGTTAAGTACTTTTTTATAAACTTCACACTACTCACAACAATATAGTGAATCACTAATTAACACTATTTAAACATACGTATTCGTGTAGCGTGTGTGATTTCACTAATATAAAGTGAAATCACACACGCTACAGTTCAGAGTAAGTTAGCAAGCGTTCAGCTAACGTCACACTCAATAAAAACTATGTTATTCACAGAATAAATCGCAGACCGAATAAATAGGCTATACAATAACATACGTATCTTATTTTTAAATTAAATATACGGTTCTGAATGGAAACCCCCGTAACTCACTCTTCACAGCCGACTCTTTCGGCGCTTGAGTCTCCTGTTTTTGAACTCGATGCAGTTTTGTTTTCGTTGGTTGAGAAGCCGCTACTTCATATGCAGCCTCGCGACAGCGCCTCAGTGAGGCTGGGCGGAATTGATTCACTCATTCTATCTATCTACCACTTACATCGGAAATTGAATGGGTTGCTCAAACACGCACTAAAAAATGCCACCGCACATCCATTCTAGTAATTATTTAACTGCTATATAAAAGCGATAACAAATTGCTGTTGATTCATGAGCACGTGGCCTGTGACGCACTGCGCAACACGGAAGTTGTGACGTTGCACTGAATGACTCTCATACTCGCAAAATTATAACGTTACGGATCTTAAACTGATTTATAAAGTTTGCAGCTCTTATAATGGCCAGTTCGAACGTGGAGGACCCAACAATACTGTGTCTGTTTGATGTAGACGGGACTTTAACAGCAGCTCGCCAGGTGAGTGACTGAAGCGGATGACGTTAACTAATGTTACTTTTTATTAACTAAGTGTGTTATCTTTTCAGATCTCATGACTCTCATGAGATATGAATCTGAGCGGTATTAAAATTTATTTACTATCATTTATTGAATAACTGAAAACTATCTTTAAAATGACACTGACGGAAGTAAATGGATAAAATTGAATGATGATCTGTGTAAATGTTTAATATGTGTAAAAGTCCAATATGTATTGTGAATTTTCTTTATGTCTTGGCACATCCTGATGAACAGTCATAGAATCAGAATGAGATTTATTGCTAATTATGTTTACACATGCGATGAATTTGTCTGGGTGAAGCCTCCACAGCACAGACATAATGACAGCGACATGACAGATGACACAGATAAAAAAATATACAATACTAAACTGTATTAAATGTATAGTTACAGTATGATACCATACATGTCATAGCTGTCTATTAAAGATAACATTCATTCTCCATGTACTACTTTTAGTCTGCTTCTGGGTCGAGGAGAATTTACATGTAAACATTGGACGTCATAAGTTGTAATGGACTAATCATTTAAACACATCGTGGTTCTGTCAATTACATATTTTACAATACAACCATTTAAATCAATGGTTTGCAAGCTTTTTTGATTTCAAGGCCCATGTTCCACAACAATATTTAAACGCCACCTGACTTTTCCTGTTTTTATAGATATTCTGGATACAAATTAAGGATTTAAAAACTCACAATTTCTACCTGCTAAAATATTTTAGAGCTTGGCATAACTAAACAATGTATAAAAATGATAAAAGATTTACATGATTTGTCCAGGTCTAGATATACATATATCCAGGTTTTCCAAGACATCAGGAAGCCTGGTTCATTGAAGAAGGGGGAAAAATAGTTTGTGAGGAAGTGAATTAAATTAAGAACCATGTTTTGTTTTTATAAGAAAAGTAATCTTTTGCCACATTTGGAAGTTTCCCCCGATTTAAATGGCTCGGGAAATGAACGATTGCAAGTTTTGCATGCATTTCAAACCCAAAAGAAGAAGTTTATAAATTGAATTGATTTCTTCCATTTACTGAAAGCAAATTTGTATTTGGTAAATATTTGTGTATTCTATGTACTCCTGCCAGTAAAATTAGCCTCTACAAACTTATATAAAGGTCCAGCCATGAAAGAAAATATATACTGTGAAACCACCAAAATCTTAAAAAAATATTGTGATCATCTTTAATGGACAATTTAATGGATTTTCAGCTAAATTTAAACATTACAGCCTGTTTATAACTGTGTGCTTAATGGAATGAATTAGTGACCTATTTGCCTGTGTATGTTTTTGTCTTTAGAAAGCAACTCCTGACATGCATCAGTTCTTGGGTGAACTGAAACAGCGTGTGAGAGTCGGGGTGGTTGGAGGGTCAGATTTGGACAAAATCAAAGAGCAGTTGGGTGATGATGGTGTGTATTACAAATATTTAAAATACAAATGCAAGGAAATAAGCAAAAACATTCAGTTCATTTATAGTGTGCATGTTTTCTTAGGAGTAAATGTTTCATGTTTTACAGTGATTGATAGGGTGGATTATGTGTTTGCTGAGAATGGTTTGGTAGCATACAGGTTTGGGAAGATGCACTCTGTTCAGGTAGTTCTGATTCTCCGTTTACTGCTTATTTAGCTCACAAATTCTCTCACATACTGTCCAGCGAATGATACAAGGGGCTTTTCCATTGTGATATTTTCTTTTCTTTTTCATCAGAGTATTCAAGCATACATGGGAGAGGACATTTTACAGGATTTTATCAATTTCTGCCTCAATTACCTTTCAAAGTTAAAACTACCCAAGAAGAGGTAAGGTTAAAAGTTGCATGGAGAAAAGCATTTTTTTACTGCGTTATTTTAATGTTTGTCTGTACTTATTTTCAATGTTAAAGTTAAAGGAGTAGTTCACTTTTAAAAAAACTTTTGCTGATAATTTAAAAGTTTTTTTTAAAAGTGAACTACTTTACTTAAAAAAAAAATTTAGAAAGTACTTCTTATTTAACACCGTTAACTGCATAATTAACTGTATTAAAACCTATTTAAAACTGAGATCATGATATTGTGCAATTTTGTGTGTGTATATTGCAATTGTGTGTGTGTGTGTGTGTGTATAGTTGTTGTTGTTTTTTCTACCATAATGTTTATGGTATTTTTACTGTCTTCTCAGAGGCACATTTATTGAATTCCGTAATGGAATGTTAAACATCTCCCCAATTGGTCGAAGCTGTAGCCAACAGGAAAGAATCGAATTCTTCGAACTTGATAAGGTCATTTTTTTAAGCATTTGTCAACGCATGCCATTATTTTTTTAAAAGATTAAATGTTGATTGGCATCTTTTTGACTTTTTCTTCTTTATGCAGAAGGAGAAAATCAGAGAAAAGTTTGTCTCCGTTTTAAAAGAAGAGTTTGCTGGGAAAGGACTAGCTTTCTCCATTGGTAAGTAACTGTGTATATGTAGTTGTATAGCCAATGATATGTTTGTGTAATAGTATATATAAAGTATAGTCAATGTATCAATAAATATGTTTTATTTTTTCTGCAGGTGGGCAGATCAGCTTTGATGTGTTTCCAGAGGGCTGGGATAAGCGCTACTGTCTGGGAATTGTGGAGAAAGACTCATACCAGAAAATCCATTTCTTTGGAGACAAAACAATGCCTGTGAGTGTATTATTCCAGTATTCATGCACAAAGTCATCCCAGACTTGAAGCAATCAGTTTTGTAATGTTATTTTCTCCCTAACAGGGAGGAAACGATTATGAAATCTTTGCAGACCCCAGGACGATCGGTCATGAGGTCAAGTCACCCGAGGACACACAGCGGATCTGCAAGGAGCTTTTCCTCAGATGAGACCCTAAGCATGACCTTTTCTATCCAAAATGAAAACTACAACGTCCAAGAACTGTGAACTTTGAACCGAAGTCTCACTTGACAATCCAAGCCATTATTGTCTTTGTGTACTAAAAAAAATGTACGTCATGTCCAGTACTGGATAAACCTGTACATGTGTTTATTTTATGTGTAATCTGAAAACTGTTTGGTGTTAGTGTTACATCTGTGGACTAACTAAAATTAGTGGTGAAGGTGCAATAATTTAAAGGGAATTAGAGGAAATTAGGCCTAAAGCTCTATTAATAGTTTGCTCAAATGAAACTGATTTAATTAACTGCTTGACTGCTGACGTGGAATAAGTGAACGCAACAGTATAGCTTAACGGTTTAAAGTGGCTTAATTCTATGGCGAAAATCTGCTACATCCTGCTGTATAATAAACATGAAATATATTCTGATTGATATAGTTGTTGCATTTTATACTTTACATGTATGAGATCAAAACCATAAACAAGGATACTGTACATATTCTGAACTAAACATAAAAAGGTAAAACAGATGAAAGATGTTCTAATTTTTTATTAGCAATTGAATTTTTTTTTTTTATTCTCAATGTAATCACCTACTCGCATGCAGTTTAGTTTGAGTAAAAATGTAATTTTTTACTAATTGCTTTTTAAAACCAATAGTGGAATACGTACAAGTATAAAATGTGTTTAATTTGCTACTTAACCATAAATGACACTTTTCCAAAAATATATTTGTTGCTATGACCTTTTTGTTTTTTGGGTTGAAATAACATTTTTCATTTCAATCGACCTGTACAAGTGCTTTTTAAAGTCAATATCAAACCTGAAATACAATGTTTGATACGCAAGACCATGTGACTACAAGAACATTTCAAGATAATCCAATATAAAACAAGATCTAAATAGAAGGAAGAGTAGTCCAAAAGTCCTGATTTGCTGGTTAACGGATAGGCCGGTACGGGAAGGTCATGGCAGCTGGATGAAAGGCGTGAGGGGAGAGAGAAGGGTGTGTGGCGTGGGCTGTAATTGGCCGATGTGGGGAGAGCACTGGATGTGTGGGGTGCGCTGAGAGTACGGGGTGTGGGATGTGCTGTGAGGGGAGGGTTGACTGGTGTGGGCTGTGGGGAGAAAGCGGGGAGGGCCGACCCGAGTGAATGTGTGGGTACATGTTGGGCTGGAAGGCTCCGCTGTGAGGTGGAGGCTGCACCACTGGACCGGACATCACAAGCTGCAACAGACTACAACACGAGAACAAACAGTTACTACACACTGCTCACAAATAAACAAAAAATTTTTTAGTGATTGAGAGATGTTTTTTTTTAATGGACAATGGAGATATCTGGAGAGAAGGGTGGCTGTACAGATAAATATCATCAGTATCATACTTAAAGGTGCAGTGCGTAATTTTTAGTGGCATCTAGTGGTGAGGTTCCGAATTGCAATCAAGGGAAGTTACGGTGTCCGGCAGGAAAATATGTCATCGTCTGAGACAGCAGAGAGTAGCTAGTGAGGTTTCTTTACAAAGATTAAGAAATAAATTATGTTTAACACGAAGAACAACATAGTGGCAAAATGCGCTCTGTAGTAGTTTGTCTGTTTAGGGCTACTGTAGAAACATGTCGGCAAAAAATGGCTATTTCAATGTAAGGGGTGTATATAGATTTCAGTATCGTGTATAATGAACGGTTCATGTAAGGTTAAGGTTAGTTATGTATATGACATTGCATTTCTGCCAACAGATCCTCCTAAATATTACACAATGCACTTTTAATAAAAAAATAAAATAAAAAAATAGGTACACCAGCATTCACATTTTTTTTTTTTGAGATAGAAAAATTTATATACAGATTTGAATTTTCAAATATATTAAATCAAAAAGTCATTTTGAATTGTAATAATATTTACAACATTGCTGTTTTTACTGTATTTTTATCAAATAAATCAAGTCTTGGCAAGCAAGACTTTATTCAATGTTGTTGTATGTTGCATGTTTATATATCCAAACTTTTTTCATGCATATTCATGCCATTTTTTACTACGCCATCTCAGGGGCACATTTATTGGATTCCATAATATAATTCTGAACGTCTCCCCATCTGTGATCAGTGACTTACTTGTTGTGAGGAAGTCTGGAGCACAAAGTCCGTAGATCCTCTGAGGAATAAATGACATGACAGGAAATGACATCACTGAAATGGTGCTCTTATCAGATCAAAACCCAAACAGGCCATTGTGAAGTAAACATCACTTACCTCTGGCACACAGAAGGGCTCCTGTTGCCATGGCGACCTGAAGAGCTTGTGCCAGCCTATCCAGAGCCAGCTGGATATGATTGGCAGCTAAAAGGGGCGTGAGCTTCTCACAGAGCCGGCTGACTTCCTCTACTAGCGTGGCAACAGACTCCACAGGAAGCACGGCTAGCCGGCCAATCAAATTCTGTTCTGTCAGGTGGACCTGCAGGAGTTAAAATAAAAACCTGTTATGTATTCTAATACTGAATGAAATCCTCAAAGCCTCACAATATTGTATTAGAAGAGATCACCTGCAGCATGAGAAAGACTTGAAGAACACTGAGGTGCAGTTTAGAGTACAGCTCTTCATATGCTGTTCCTTTCTCATTTTCTCCATGGCCATTGGTCAAAGCCAACTTCCCGCCTTTCTGATAGGCTAATGGAGCTTTCACACACCAGCGGAGCAGACCCAGAAGAGGCGTGATCTCGAGGCAACCCAACGGCAGGCTGGAATTGAGGGGTGTGTTGATGAAGGTGAGGAGCAGAAGTCTGGGATCCTCCGTGATCCAACCAACCAGCATCTCCAAAAGTGCAGGGGGCGGAGTCAACTCATCTACAAGCGACAACATCATATATATCAATTTTTGGGGGCCGGTTTATATATTATATAAAATATTTAAATATTGCTTAAGGAAGTTGGTTTATAGTATTACAAAGTAGACAAAGAAAAACAAAAAAAAAAAGTTGTAGTGACAAAAAGGAAACCTGGTACCTGAGGAGAAGTCATAGAGTGCCGTTACTGCAGTGATGAGCTGGCAGCAAAAGCGAGGGCTGGCTGAACAGATGTTCTGCAGGGTAGAGATGGCACACGGCACCAGTGTGCAATAATCATCCATCAGCACCTGAGCCAGACGCACACACCACGCAGAGTGTGTGCGCTAAGATAAAAAAACAAAACACACACAGATAAATAATGAATGCTTGAAATGTTGTCCAGGTCATATTTTACCCAAAATCCCAAAAATTAGAAACTCTTATTTTGCTCCAGAACTAAACTCGTGAACAGATGTTACCGGGAGACAGTGATTATAGTGATTTTATTTTACAAAAAATGCAATCTGTTCATTATATAAATTGATCGTGTCTCTTCAGGAAATTTGGACTGAACCGCTCAATTCTTATGGATTAGTTTTACGATCTCTTTACGGACTTTTTGAAGCATCGAAAATATATTTTGGTCCAAAAATAACAAAAACTACAGCTGCATACAAAATCGAATACTTCCCTACTATAAAGTATGCGAAAACACTACGCGAGTAGAGTAGTATGTCCGAAGTCATAGAATTCGAAAAACAGCAGGCGAAAAGTACCCGGATGACCTACTACTTCCGGTGAGATTCTGAAGTGCGCATACGATGGACACTTTACTATCCCATGATTCCACGGGAGAGGAGTTGTTGTCGTTATATTTAAAAATGGCAGAAACCGGAGACACGGCTGAAACGTTAGGAGATAAACACAGACGCACGTGTTCATGTTTATCGACGGTAATATCACAAGCAAATAAATGGGTTTTTCCTTGCAAAAAATCAACATCTGTCATTGTTCATATGGGTTGTGTGTGTGTTTTATGAGGTAAAATTTATTAAGTAAATAAATATTATTTGAGAAATTCCGCAAAAGGTGTGATCTGCGAGCAGCTGACCGACGCCTCCTCTTGGTTGTCGGCTCGGACGACGTAAAAACGCAGACGAAAACAGAAAGCAGAACTAAAAACAGCGCGAAGTTGGTGCAGTCACTGGAATGGGCTCTTTAAATTTTCACACTGTTGTGACATAATATATCGTGTCATGTGATGTCATTTGAGTGACATAGTATATCACGCGACAACAACATGGCGCATGTAGTACGTCCGGATACTACCCGAAACATACTACCCGTATTCATACTATATAGAATGCACTTTTTTAACGGTCTTGACGTTCTTTTTTAAATATAGTACCTACTCACATAGTATGCCATTTCGGACGTAGCCTACGACTTTATTCAGCATTGTATTTTCTTCCGTTTCTGATGTCAATCCGCGTTCACGAGTCCGCAGTGGCGCTGATGACGAAAGACGCTGCTAACGTGCATCTGGTGTATTCGGGTTCAAATAAATATGGTTGGGCAAAAAAATGCAAGTCTTCCTCTGTGTCGAAATCCTTAGACATGTTTGTGAAGACTGTTTTGTTTACAGTGTGTGTCTCTCTCAGACTGTAACCGAAGCTCAGCCGCACTGATAACACGTCAGCAGCGTCACTGAACGCGGCTCGACAACAGAACGGGAAGACAATACAATGCTGAATAAAGTCGTAGTTTTTGTTATTTTTGAACCAAAATGTATTTAGATGCTTCAAAACATTCTAACTAACCCACTGATATCAAATGGACTACTTTGATGATGTCTTTATTTCCTTTCTGGATAAGGACAGTATACCGTACACACATTTTCAAAGGAGAAAAATCTCTCTGACTAAATCTAAAATATCTTAAACTGTGTTCCGAAGATGAACGGAGGTCTTGGAACAACATGAGGGTGAGTCATTAATGACATCATTTTCATTTTTGGGTGAACTAACCCTTTAATGAATTTGGAGTATTTTAAATGATGTTAGAAATTTGCACGCCCAAACCATTTAAGAGCTTTCCGCAAACCCTTTCCTTTTCCTCTTCCTCATTTTCCGTGAGAATTTCTCATATAATATAAATACAAATAATCCATGCAATTATTAGTAAATGATCACTGTTCTTGATATGCAACTCACAATAAGCATCCTAACCAAATTTTCCATTCATTTCAGTTAACATGCTCCAGAGAAATCATGAATCATAAAACATTGAACTCAAGGAACAAAATCAAAGAAAAACGCTACTTTCACACCACACACCTGTAGCCAGGTGGATGCACACTCCAGTATGGGCACCCGACACACGGCTATCGCCATAGAAACCAGCTTCCCCAGCATGGCCATGCGGCTCTCGTCAGCCTTGTTGCCTTGGAGACTGAAGAGAGCGGAGAAAATGATCTGTCGGATAGAGTCTTTGCTCTGCTCCTGGAAGTAACTGCACATGATCTCCAGCAGTTGCAGTTCTTGAACGCAGCTCATCCTCTGTGTCAAACACAACACACAATTCCCTTGAATCCATTTTCATTCAAAGTTCACTCATATGCATCTTACCACCATAGTTAGCATGGTTTACTCCTAGTCAAAAGATTCCCGTTCCTCACCTTAGGCTGGATGTTCCTGTCTTTAGGGATGTGAAAGATGAACTCCTCCACGAGGTCCACCGTGCTCTTCTCTAATCCAGGCGTGGGGCCCGAGGAGCTCTGCAGAGCGCTGCCCAGTGAGATGTCCAGATGATACAGAACCTCTTTAGCTGCGCTCAGCGGATCACGCCGCAGCAATGCATGTCGAATATCACTCATCTCTGCTGTGGAAGAGAAACTACACCGTTAATTCAAATACAAGCATCTGCCAACCTTAATAAATGAAACATATGAAAGACAGCTATAAGTAAGTAACACATGATGAACCAAAATATATCATTTTATGCATTATTTCTAGACATGAAGCATGGTAATACCATGAATTTTGGACATGTGTCATGTAATGCAATAGACTTTTCTTCCCTAATAATGTTATTACAGAGTTTTTCTCAAACTAGAAAAAAAATGTAGGATGGGACTTGATTTTGTCAGGATTTTGTTTGCTATTGCTGTGATGTCATGTGAGTGACAGGTTGTCCCGCCCTCAAGCCAGTAAACACGTCATGAGATGTTGTTTGCGAAAGGGTGGGTAAGAATTTCGATGAAAGATAATGAGGGCACATTAATTTAGAAAAACAATGATCATTCTTATTTTAATTTTTTGTATTATTATTATTATTATTATTAAAGAACGTTTGTCCATTATATTACCATAATGGAACTACCATTATGGTAATATAATATGGATGTTGAACATTTATCATGTTTTTGGGATAATACTAGAGAAAACCAAGGTAGCCTATCTATAAAAGTACCATCTATCACTGTACAGATATCACACAACTTTGTTGTAAAGCGTGTCATTATCAACATAGTGAAATAGAGCAGTTCTGAATCTAATCTGTAAAAACCATAAGTTATTAAATCGTATTACAATAGCTCTTATTCAACCATAAATATGATAATAGGAAACTGTTAATTATTAACACACATCACCAACAATAAGAGATTATTCTCTACGGCAAAACACATTGTCCAAAGCGATGCTGTTTACACAGCGCATTTGTAAACGCCGGTTGCTTAACATTTCGAATGTTTCCTTAGATCAAACTACATATATATGTTTAGTTAAAACACCCTTACCTGAGATAATAATTAGACTCGATACATTAGCTTCTCTCAATCAGCAAATGCATATCTCCCATAACCATAACTCACAATGTGAAAGTTGTTCATCACAAAATAACTAGTACGGAATCCCATACAGGACATGGCAGACTCGGTTGAGTAAAGAGAAGCGTGGCTGTTCAGCGCCACCTGTGTACCGGAGTCGTTTTTCAAATGAACAAACGTGACTAATTTGTTTTTATGAAAGGGAGCGCGTCGCTCGCGTTGCTTGCTCGCTTTGACTATGTAACGGCCCTTAAACTGTTGGTGAGATGGGATGAGTTAATGTAACTCTGATGTAGGCTACAGTACAATGACAGTTGCACAGATGTGTGTGCGTGTGCATGTTGGGAACCGGTGAGACAATGTCAGGTACCCCGGTAACTCTACCAGTAATAACAATATTAATTTAGTTCATAGTTAACGGATCCTGAACGCTGTAACTAAAAAGTTAAGACATGTCTACGTAACTGTGGCGGTTGTTGGTGAGCCTGGGTCAGGTCAGTTTTAGTTTTTATTTAATGGAATTTGTTTACAGTAAAGAATACACAACAACATTTTGGTTTAATAAACTTTATTTAAACGATCGTTTGGAGTTAATTCCAAACGCACACTCTTTAACTTTTAGTTTCAGTTTATTCTTACCGTTCTTTTTGTTTGTTTGTTTGTTTGATACGTCTGAGTCCCGTGAGCTGGTGCACCATCAAAAGGGGTTCGAGTGGAAACATTGGACGTATATATATGGTTCTGGCCAATGATCGGGCCACAACCATTCCCGTTTCTTCTCCGGGGAACTACTTCTTCTTCTTCTTTTGGTTTTATGGCGGGTTGCGAACCAACTTTAAAGGTGGATACCGCCACCTAGTGTGATGGAGTGTGAAAAGAATGAACTAAATTCTCCTAAATCCTATTATTACAACCCACTATTCTTAATAAACCTAATGATTGCCTTTATTTGTTTTCCTGAATTTGGACCATCATTTACTCCAAGGACTATTTTGCTTGCTTTTCTTTTGTTTGTTTTTAAGAAGTATATTTATTAAGTGAAGTCATTTGATATTATTTGAGGTGTTTGTTTATGTATGTTGGGTGTTTTCATATTTGTTTATTGTCTGTAATGGCCATTATATGTCTGTGTATCCCCCTTTATGTTTTAATTGGTGCTGGCCACCAAGGTAAAAATTTGTTAATTGTTTCTGTATGTGAGTTAGTGTTCTGTGAGAGAACAGGTTCTGTAAGCCCTTGACCTCTGTAAATGTTTCAGAGGCAAATGCAGTGACCCATCGTTATTGTATGTTTTTTTTTTTTTTTTTTTTTTTTTTTTTTTTTTTTGATTTTTGGTATGTTTGGTTTACCACCATTGGGTTAGCATTGGCTTTACTTATCCTGTGGAAATAAACCCCTAAACGTTTAGCCTGCTGCCTTGTTCTTTTATCCTTTACTGGTCACATCTATCACAGTGACTAAATCAGCCATCAACACTGCTGCTTGTGATTTGTTTACATACGATCTGCGTCATATGAGCTAGGTCTATCTGTTGAGTATATATATATATATATATATATATATATATATAGACAAGGTAGATTATGTTGCATGATTTCATGAAAGGATGTATTGCGACATCAGAAACTAAGAAAAAACGAAATAATTACTTTTGTAGAGCTTGCCGTAAAGCAGTCGAATTTTGTAGTTCTTTTTGTAGTTCTTTTTGTAGTTTTAGTTTGAGTTATTTTAGTATATCAAGTTAAACTAAATTAAAGTGAGAAATAACTCGCTAAAACAAATAAAGCTATTTTATTTCTGCCTAAAAAAATGGTTCAATTAAAGCAAGATGTTAATTTCAACAACATATTTAGGTTACAGCAACTAAAATAAACAAACTCAATGCAAGTTTACATCTCCCAATTCTGACTTTTTCCCTCAGAGTTGCGATTAGCCTAGCTAGCAGTTGAACAGATCCATTGTTTATTTTATATTCAGTGGCGGAAACAGATCCATAGTTTTTTGCACTGATGCCATACATGTCTATCACATCACATTTTTGCAGTGATGCCATAAAATAACCATTTTAGGTTCTTCAAAGGAATCTTAAAAACCCTTTTCTACAATAAAGAACATTTTTTTGTGGAAAGAAAATGTTCCATGGACGTTAAAGAGGTGTGTATCCGTTGATTTTCTACAAAATTCAACTCGAATCTATTACCACCGGGAGGCGCTATTTAATACCCGATTATGACACGCACTGCTCAATGTAGCGCCACCCCATCGATCGCCTCTCCTCTGATGGGACACCAGACTCTCCAGCATCAACATCATCCAGTTCTCTATAACTTCACATCCAGAGCAAACGAGGTGCAGTCAACATGACCATCAACACACTCAGTCAGGATGGAGTGCAGCGACAGCAAATGCCCTGTTTGACCAAGGTAAGACCCTAAACTGTATTTTCATTTAGCAGTTACAGTCTTAGATCCAGATACTGTCTTTCAGCAGAAGAGCCTGAGCTTCATATTGCTTGTAAATCACAGGAACTTTTCCTCACCTAGCTTAAAATGTGAGAAAGTCCTAAGAGACAAAACTAAAGTTTGTTTACAGAAAAGGTTTTGTATGCATTTGAAAACTTGTATTCGGATTTTCTTAGGATACTTATATAACGATTTATATAACAAAATTTCCTTAAAAAAATAAGTAAACAAGTTATCCAATTCCTCCTATATTTGTTTGATTTATTATTATTCGCTGTTTTTGAATTAAATCACCAAAAATAATTGTATGAAATTTTACATAATGGAAATTATTGATTTTATTGTAGTAAAATTGATTTAATATTTGACTATAATAACAATGTAATGTTTATTAAGGTGTGCATCCTGTTTATATTTATCTTTTTATTACTGTAAATACATGAATAGTTGACATTTTTTATTCAACACTTTAAAGATATTTGTTTTTTACAGTTTTAATCACCTTTTAGCTTTTTTGCAGTTCACAAATATTAATGCTTTGCGATAAAAAATCAATATAATTTATTACAAATATTTCCTCTTTATTCACATACAGATGGAGCGCATGATCATATCCATGCAGGACCCTGATATGGGCATCAAGTTGCGCAACCAGCGTCTCCTCATTACTGTCATACCACACGCCATGACTGGTGAGTCTCTCTCTCTCTCTCTCTCTCTCTCTCTCTCTCTCTCTCTCTCTCTCTCTCTCTCTGTGTCACTCTCTCCATGACTGCATCAAACTTCAAGCTTCACTCTCTCTCACTTGATAATCCCATGATATGACTGTTCCGCTTATTTTTCCAGCCTGTGGCATGTTACGGCACGATTAGAGAGACAGCTGAGACACAACTAGAGTAGTTTGTCATTATTATTGTGGAAATACTGTACATTTATCCAAGCATATCTCGGAAAGTCTTGAGTGCGCATGACATGAGCACAGTGAATCAATAGAAGCTTGCGCAGTGAAATTAGACTCCTGTGTGTGCTTTCGGTCTCTGCACTCATTTTTCTGGCTATTAATTAGTCTAACAGTGAATGTTTTGCCCCTGCACCGGTCTCTCAGAGGACACGGGGCTTTGTGGTAATGAACAAATTACTTTCTTTGGCAAATCTTAGAAGTTAAAGTCAATTCATCAAAGTTGACACTTAATCAAATGTTTAGCCTATTTATATAACTGCTTTATATAACAGTAGTTCATTAAAAAACAAACAAAAAAAACATAAATGCTCATTCTATCCAAGCTAGGAATCGGAACTTCCTGATGTCTGAATATTAATATTAAGCTTGGTGTTGCTTATTGCTTACTGGTCAGTTCTGCTGTTGTTTGGTTGGTTGGTTGGATGGATGGATGGATGGATGGATGGATAGATGTTTCGTATCTGTGTGTGCTTATGTTGACAATGATACTCTTTTAATTTTATACAGGTATAGACATTGTTGAATGGCTGATTAAGAAATTTTCTATCTCTGATGAAGGTAGGACATTAAAATAAATATATTGTAATTATTTGTCTTTGATGCATAGCTTTGAACTTTATTGCAACAATGCCATATTTATAGTCAAAGGATTTTCTATATATATATATATATATATATATATATATATATATATATATATATATATATATATATATGAAGAGTTCAGATGCAAAAGCCTCTAAGTGCCATTTGAAATTTTCTTCTAGAATGATAATTTTTTATCAAGCTTGTATATTTAAGTTCAGTGATTTCACTTAAATGGCAATGATAATTACCTATTAATTGTTATTTAAGTGAAATTACTGAACTTAAATGTACAAGTTTGATAAAAATCATCATTAAAGAAGAAAATTTCAAATGGCATTTAGAGGCTTTTGCATCTGAACTCTTTATATATATATATAGTCTGTGTGTGTAATAATTTCCATGCTATCTGCTGTGGTGTTTTCCAGTCACCTGTGTGTGGTTTATATGGAGTACCCTCTAGGGATGACATTATTCTCCATGTTCTCTCCTGAGGGGTTTCAAAATGTACTCCCACACACGCACACACAACACACTGGTAGCTAAATTGCTTATTAAAGTTGCTTTGGCACATTCAAGTCAGATTTGATGTCATCTGAGCTGAGTTGTGTGGAAGATTTTTAATAATAAATGCTCAAATGTCACGCAGTCAGAGAACAGGCTCAGCTCTGAAAAGCCCTAATAAACAAGCAATACTGCACACAGCTGTGTCTGCATTAAACAAGACCCCAGAGAGTTTGGCAGATCTGTGCACCGCAATGAGGGAACACCTTCTGTAGGCAACGGTTAGATGGAAATCTATAATTTCAATCAATATTTAGTTTATATTTTCCCTAAAAAGCATATGTAGGTGTTGACCAGCTAGATTCTAGCTGATGTAAGCTATGTTTCTATAGCACAAACAGTAGAGTACGGTGCTAGCAATGCTAAGAAGATGGGCTTCAATCCCAGATTATGCATGAACTGAAAAAGAGTATACAGCTTAAATGCAGTGTAAATTACTTTGGATAAAAGCATCTGTCAAACACATAAATGTAAGCTGGTCTTTGGCTTACTAGGTGATCAGGCTGGTTTTTACAACATGTCAGACAGTTTATGACCAGCTTGAATGAATCTGTTGTAATCTTTTGTTGTAATTTTTTTTAAATGAATTATTTACTTGATTTACATTTTTGTTCAAATTTTTTACCAAAAAAAAGTACGATGTGTGAGTATATATTTTGTATGTGATTCAATTTTTTCTAATTTTTATTTAGAGGCATTGCACATTGGACACTTCTTTGTGAAATATGGATACATTTACCCTTTAAAAGAGCCTAGACACCTTATTCTGAAAGCTGATGATTCACCATATCGCTTTCAGGTAAATATACACACGCACACTTACACAATGTTGATTCACAAATCCAATATCAGCATTTGTTAAACTTCCATATTCAAAAACAACACATCTCAGTTAATATCTGTCTCTATCAGACTCCGTACTACTGGACGTCGACATGCTGGCCTGCTTCAGAACTGGACTATGGTGAGATCTACCTTCCCATTTGGCATGATTCACATAAAATGAAAAGTCTGTCATCATTTACTTAGCTGCATGTTCTTCCAAGAGCAAATACAAAATATGAAACTAGTGCTGATTGGTTCCTGCTGTATCAGTAGCCAATGAGCTCACTGCTCAACTTTCAGACACTTGGTTAGCATTTGCTGTAGCAGTTTGCAGCGTGCTTTCTGAAACCCCACACCTTCCCCAGCTCCACCTGTATAAAGTACATCT